CGGAGATATAAGCTTGCAACAAACCCTATGTAAACGCGTCTCTGGTGAGGCCTCAATTCACCACGTGACGACCGGGGCGGGGACGTCTCGTCCCGAAACCTCTCCAGAGCCTCCCGCAAGAGGAATCTGCCGTTGGATTGTCCACCGTGCGTCAACTAAATTCGGTGACTGTCTTTCACCGAAAAATCTGGGGCCACCCTGCGCCGAAAAATTAGCCACCGCCATGCGCTGAATTCCGCGTATGCGAAGTTACGCCGCACGTGAACTGAAGTTTTCAGCACAATCCCACCACCACGCCGGACATATTCAGCAATATGTGTATTTTTTCCAGTCTGGCATTCAGGCCATAGGTAGCTATCAAATTTGAATTCGATGCAAGGGCGGCGCCACCGTGGGGGCAGTGGGGGCAGACTGCCCCCACTGGCAGGAGGCCGTGGGGGCAAGACTATGTTTTTGCCCCCACAAAATTTGGCTGATGTATGGGAACAGAAGACCGGTGCAACATTCATTATAGGCGGTTATAATAGTACGCCTGTTTTTGACGGTCCTCGTATCAAGTGCGTCAGCAGAACGTTCGTTCTCGGACCGTCTGTCGCATATCTCGTACTCCCACTCATTCTCCTACTCATTTTCATTCACCAAAAGGCTGCCCTAGAGCTTAATCTCGAGGAGGTTGAGAAGCAGTTTATCAAAAGTCGGCCAGAGAAGAGATCACCCTCTTTTGGGAACCCTTAGACTGAGACTGAGCTCAGAGAGGTATGACAAAATGTGATAGGTATGTATATCCCGGGTTATCTGGAATTGTATGTGGGTCGCCCTAATGGAGCTTATTCTCGTACCTATATCAATCGTATGTGAGAGAATCGCACATTATATACGTACTACGGGGAAAATGAGAAATAGGTACTGACTATAGTTTTGAGGAACACACCATTTTACATCTCAACGAACAACATAACGTTTTCAGTAGTTTTCACAGGTTTGTGTCTCGCAATCTAGTTTTATAGTTTTATTTCGGCCGGGCGGCCCGGGGGTAATCCTAACCACCGCAGCCCGGGGTAGCCCCCCCCCCCCTCCCTGTTTAACTCCGTTAATAAGGCAGCTACTGAAACAAAAATGGTACCAAACGAAAAGTATCTATGAGAAGATTCTAAAGCACCGAAACTTTTTGACCTCAGGTCAGTTTTCAAGGTCAGAATTCAAGGTCAAAGGCAAAAACCGGCATTAATGTAGTGGTCTCAAAGTACGTGTTCCAGAGGACGGCATGGTGCATAAAATCGGCTAAAAGGGATGTTGAACAAAAGAAGAGAATCCGTGGATTCCGATGATGTGCATAACATTCAAATTCAAGGTCACGATCATGCTCAAAATTGACCACAAACTTTGCACTTTTTCTTATATCTTGTATACTAAATTCCGAGATGTTTTGATATGTTTTCAAGCTTAGCGGACCCCTATTTGTGCTTAAGCTTACGATACAAGACTGCTACGAGGTCAAAGTCACAAGAGAGTATCCTTGCTAGAGGCTATTTCACTATTCAAGTCAGGCATAATTACGGAGCGAGCGAAGCGAGCGGAGTCTTACGTAGAATAACGGAAATTTCTGAGTATGAGCGGCCGGCCGGCCGGCCGGCCGGCCGTGCGGACGCTTTTGCGAGGCTTATATCTCCGCAACCACTTGACCGATTTACACGGGGTAATTTTTGTAGGGTAGCTTCATTCCTTCTACCAAGTATTGGACTATACCCGATGCATGTGGGTGACCCCTTATGCACGTGCCACGTGCAAAACGAAGAGGTGTCAGTTTTGTAATTGTTGCAATATCTCGGTAACTACTTGGCCGATTGCGCTGAAAGTTGGCATGTAGGTAGGCACCCACTAGGCACTGCATATCCATGTGCCAGAGTTGGGGTGCTGCTGCACGTGCGCACGTGCAGGGGTCGTTTCCAGATCTCGAGAACGGCTGGACCGATGGCGCTCAAATTTGGTACACGGTTAGGGACCAGTTAGTAGGGTGCCGTGCACAAGTCAGTTGGGACCCATTTTGCACGTGCGCACGTGCAGGGTGCCGCTTCCAGATCTCGAGAACGGCTGCGCCGATTGTGCTCAAATTTGGCACATCGCTAGAGACCGGTTAGTAGGGTGCCGTGCACAAGTCAGTTGGAGGTACCCCCTCGAAATTTCACACGTGCAAGGCCCACCCTCTCGCTCGCTCCGTTAGTCGCCCCAAAAGGCGTTATACTGGTAATTAAAACATGTTTTGCCATACTGAGGCTCTAAATGAATGCTTACAGCAAAATGGATGCCAGAGGCCAAGAATCGTGATCCGCGGCTACGAAATCATCACAAATGACCTTCCATGTGTAAAAAATCAACCAAATGTCATTCGAGGTCACATGAGGTCAACATAAAACTTGACCTTTTCCAAACAATATATATGTCATTCGACGCGTCTCGACAAGACTAATGCGAAGGTACCACTGCCGTAGCTCCAGAACCATTTTTTGTTGAAGTTATTTGCGAAAAAAAAGAAACTAAAGCCCCAGCTCGGGGTCGTTGCCCTGACCTCTGACCTCAGGTCACCAAAGTTACTTAAGTATTTTTTCTGGGTCAAATGCTACACAACCGTGCTCGTAATTTGTCTTTATCTCTAAAACTCAATTTTTGGCAGCTGGTTGAAGTTCACGTCCGTGACGACGAAGTTTGCCGTGCAGGAGTCTAGAAAAATCGGCTCTGAGACATTATCAAGGAGGCTAGGTCCAAATTTTTTGCTTCAAAAGATGTCAAACTAATGGGGGATAAGGTACAGCAAGCTTCGTCTTTCTATCCCTAAGCGTTCGTGAGGTATCGCAAATATTCGCCAGGGGAGGCGAAAAATGCCCCCCCCCCCTTTCCGGGCCCGCGAGGGTTAATGGTTAAACTCAATACGCCTATGCATGAAACCTAAAACCAAAATAATTTTGAATGACAACATCTAGGGACAATGTGCTCATGGATTTTGCAGATCGGCGTTATCAGACAACAGTCGGGTCAGTCTCAAGCTTGCCCCCACTGGCGAAAATTCGTGGCGCCGCCACTGATTCGATGTCGTTGTTTATGTCATTCGAGGCCATTTTGAGTTGAATTTAGCTGGTGTCCGGCCACTTTCAGGTAAAAAATGTCAAATTTCAAAGTTGTATCGGATGCATTCAGAAAGTAACACGATGGTACTATTTGTATTGGTGTACGTTGTTAAATACGTACCGAAAAATTGAAAAAAATATGATAGTGAAATTTTTGCTATAATGCGTATAACTTGCCTTTCCCGTAGCTCAGTTGGTAGAGCATTGGACTCCCGGTAGTGAGAGCCCGGGTTCGAGACGCTCCGGCGCTCGATATTTGAGACTCCTGACTGGGATGGTCTGCGATTGGTGGGAGTAGCCGCAGCCAGCCAGTTGAAGTCAGTTAAGTGGGACAGGCCGTGTCCGGCTTTAACCCTCGCCCGTAAACGGCGATCTGCCACCTTCGCCCATGCAGGGGGGGGGGGGGGGTTGGTGCGACCCCCCCTTGGCGTTTGAAAACGGAGCGTCGTAGAGCTTAGCGGAAAAGACCAACGGATTGCTCTCGCCGAGATCTCGCGATTGGTGGTATATTTTTTGGTCCTAGGTCAACATTTGACCTACTTTTGACCGGTCAAAGGTCAAATTTTCGGAAAAATAGACTTTTTTCAACTTTCCGCGGCGATTGCGGCAAAACGGTGGGAGATATCGACTTGAAACCTTCACTATCGTGTTCCTTGATCAATTCTCTATCGTTTGGTATGTATTTCGTTTCCCTAACTCTAAAAATGGCGCGTTGGGAGCGCCGGAAGTCGGCAAGGTCACAGTCGGCGGCAGAAATTCGAAAAATCAAAATTTAAATTTTTGAAATCTGATTGTATTTTTGGATTTGGGAGGTCCATTTGCTCCCTATAGAAGGTAACATTGCTGCATATTCCCATTGAGGTGACAAGAATTAGCAAAATAGTGGTTCGGGCTCTTCAAAAATAGTACCGGACGCTGTTCCTCTTGTGACGTCATAGCTCCGTGACCTGACCTGACCCGGTCAAGTTTCTTATACCATATGATAGCCAATACTTGCCCCAACATGCATGGGAAGTTTCATCACGATCCATCAACCGATGTCCGTACCACCGGCAGGAAACCTCGGGCGTTGGCACTCAGTTTGTGAAAATCCGGCCGGAGGCTGTTCCCTTTGTGACGTCATAACTCCGTGACCTGACATGACCCGGTCAAATTTTTTTATCAAAAGATGCGCAAGGTTTGCCCCATAAGGTACCCAAAATTTGGCGGCGCTGCGCGCCGCCGTTTTTGCACTATTTCCGAAAAACCTCAGGGGGGGGGGGTGCACCAACCCCCCCCCCCCTACATGGGCGAGGGTTAAAGGGCACGTTTAACTTTGGCATCTAAATTCTCCCGGGTGGTGTTTCACCGGGGATAGCAGCACGCTGCTATTACACGTGTCAAATTGGGAACAACGGAACGGAACGGAACAAGTGTATTCTGAGTCCCCTCATGCAAAGAAATTGGATCTAGTTCAAAAACTGAGCTCTTGGCAATTGCCGTAGTTCAATGTTTTGCGTCGAAATCGCCCGAACATGACGTCACACTAACGTCATTTCCGGCCGACCTATGGTAGCTACGAAATTCAAATATTGACACAAGGTGTCAAATTGATGCAGCCGAAGGTACTGAAAGTTTCGCGTCGATATGTCCAGCGATTTAGAAGTGATTGCAGAAAAACGAGAGTGGGGCGCTGGTTAACCTAAGTTAACCTAAGTTAACACCTAAGTTAACAGTTCTGAGAAAATCCCTCAAGATCCATCTCTGATCCATGATCCGGAATCATGGATCTGAGATGGATCTTGAGGTGAGGGATTGTCCCAGGTTGTCCTGGGATCCATGCCATGTCTGGAATTAAGTACAAAATGGATAGTTTTTACAGCCACACCTCTGTTCCAGTTGGCACAGTTGTCTCCGGCGCCGCTGCCACCATGCTGAAGAAGATCCCGTCCAACATCTCGCCGGAGCTGCTGTTCGTGCTGGCCAGCATGGGCCACGGCGACGAGCTGGTGCTGGCCGACGCCCACTTTCCGACCAGCGCGTGCTGCCGGGCGGGGCCGCGCGAGGTGCGCGCCGACGGCCAGACGATCCCGCAGCTGCTGCGCAGCGTGCTGCAGCTGATGCCACTCGACACGTACGTCGGCGAGCCGGTGATGCTGATGGCCCCGGTGCCGGCCGACCAGGACCGCGGAGTCGAGGTGCGTGCCGTGGGTGTTTTTTTAGGGGGGGGAGGGGCGTGAAATATGGACCGGCAGGGGACCTTAAACGGTGAATGGTGCGCGGGGCCCATTCTGTTTGCGTATAGGCTATGGACGCTAAATTTTAAGATATGGAATTATACTGTAGTCGATGTACTGGACCGTGAACCCCACACGTACTATTGGGCCCGGCTGATTATAGGTGCTGTGTCGCTGCTAGTATTCTATGAACTAGCAAATTCTGCATTGTTGAATGGTTGCAACTACATGTAGTACATTTTTTTTCACATAAAACGGGCGACGGACAGTGGATCGGTCATATGCAGTCACGCGGTGTGTTTGGTAAGGTGGGTATGGTTATCTGCCGTCCTGTGACGGAACGGTTGCCCACTTTCAGACGCCGATTTGGGACACGTACCGCACGCTGCTGGACGAGGCGGAGGGCCCTCGGGTCGAGATCGATCTATTGGAACGCTTCGACTTCTACAAGCGCGCCAAGCAGGCGTTCGCCATCGTCCACACCGGGGAGCGTGCTCAGTATGGCAACATCATACTGAAGAAGGGCGTGGTGCGGGAGTACGACACCGAGTCCTGAGCGCCGACCGCAGCAGATGCAGGTCAGGCGAACCATGTGGTACTGACGCAACTGCTGATCTGAGGAAGTGTTTGGTCATTTTGAATTCACCGTTTCAGTAGTCGTGCAAGGTGACTGTAATAGTGTCACTCTTAACGAGGAGGTAGTCGTATATCATCGGTGTTTGCGAAGTAGAGATCGATTTGCTCACTAGTTTATAGTTCTTGTATTTGAGATCCACATGGTGAATATTCTGCACCAACTAAGCAGGAATCATGTCTTTTAGTGAATTTAGGGTATTGGACACCATCAATCATAGCTCACATCACAGTTTGATAGTCATGCTAGTCATTTTGATGTCTACTATTTTTGAAAGTTGCACCTTCTTGCGAAATATTTCTGGGGACTAAGGGACGTTGCGATATCACGGCAATGCCGATCGGCCAGATAATTATGGTCATTCATTTTGATGGTTCATTATTTGTCTTTTGACGTCCTTGCATGGTTATCCGAGATTTAAAGGGCGTTATTTCACTGTCGTTGATGCACATGATTAGAAAAACCTGCAGCGTTGTCGCAGACTTGACTGCAGGTGGGCTAGCATTGAGGTGAAAGTGCTCAAGCTCATGTACATTTTTCGATTGGTCTGCCTCTGCCGCCATCTGTTGATTGTCAATTGGAGCAGTTTCGCACCGCGGCGATTGGTCAGTTTCGTCAGGTGTGAGCGATACAGCCCGGGTTCGCGGACATGCCTTTTTCCGCTGTGGTTCAACCACCGCGCCGCTGTCCGAATACACAGCGTCGTGGATGTAGGGTTGGTAGAAATAGTATAGCTTTCCGGTGTCAATTGACAGAGCCTTCCAGTCTGGTGACCTTGCATTCCGCACGCACCTTCATATCAAACATCAGCAATACGATATGCATATTCTGTACCAGTACTGCATGCGAGCTTATTAGTGTGTCGTAGTGCTTTTCCTTACCGCATGCGGCATGGGTCTAATATTTTAGCCGGAGATCACCACTCACCAGCAACCACCAACAGACGGTCTCCAATCAGTTTCGAGAGGAGACAGTGTCCCAGTCGACTGGTGTTTTGTTGTGTTGATGATTAGCCGTGCGATTTGCAGTATTCGATGTGAATTGTGATAGAAAGCTTTCAAGAAATAAATGTTGACTTTAAGGTAGAGCGAGTCGTTTGGTATGACGAGGAGGTGGAGGGGTGAGTTGGATTTTAGGTACCTATTGTACTTTGTAGCTCTGTAGCACCTCGAGGGCTCAGAGAGTTCGATAATCGAGAGTCGCTTGATAGTTGATACACCAACCGGACAGCGCATCATGTCAGTTCGTCAATGTTAGCTTTCTTGGTTCTTTAACGACGGCTGAATCAGGCTTGATTATTGGCCTACTGTCCAGAGACATGTGCATGGATCCGAGTAATGGATCTATGATCTCAGTGGATCTCGAGGCAAATTGCAGGCTCGGATCTATGATCTCACAGGATCTGACGATAAACCAAGAACATGGATCTATGATCTGAGTGGATCCCGCCATGCACAACATATGAAACCAGGTTTTCAAGTGTTTCTATGTCAATAAGTGCCATAAAACTATGGATTATGACGTGTTATCACATAAAATCACTAAATAAGAACGTTTGTGAGTTGCAACGAGTGATCTTTTTGGATTTCTGTGTTGGCCAAAAATAAATGAGGATCTATGATCCCACTGGATCTCAAGCAAAAATACTAGACGCGGATCTATGATCCCTACGGATCTCTCGATAAATTAAAGAACTGGATCTATGATCCCGACGGATCCGAGATCAGGATCCGTGGGATCAGATCCCAGATCCATTTTCTCGGATCCATGCACATGTCTGCAGTACTGTCATTTTGAACTAAATCAAAATCACGGATCTGCATCGCCAGATGATCGGATTATCCTTCCCGTCTCTCTCAGGACCGCCCACCCGTCATACCCAGCCCAGTCGCCCGCCCACAGTAGTTACGAAGTATATTCAGGGCCGTGCGCGTCCTGCACGACGAACCGGGGTTCTGGGCGAGTTGCTCAGACCGCTTCGTGAGTTCGTGACATCGCAGCGCCTCGAGCGTTTTCCGAAACCATCACCGGGCTCGCGAGCATTCGTTATCAGTCGCTACCTCGGCTGACCCGCCCCTCCCACCCACCAACAGGGGTGAAAAAATGTCTCAGGCTGTCACCGACGGAAGGTCCAGCTGACTCACGCCTAATTTTGACATTTGAGCAGTAGCTAAATGAAGTTTGAGATGCGCTGAGGACCTCAAGGTACGCCTATCATGAAATAATCAATTTTCGACAGTCACAACTCACATCATTGTGCTGCAGTTATTGGAATCACAAACCACTGACACCATAGGCGGCGGAACGGGGGGGGGGGGGGCACCGGGGCACCGTGCCCCTTGATTTTGGCATTTTAACATTAGCCCTATAGGCGTTGCATGGAAAGAATGGTACCAAAAGTCGGCAGTGCCCCCCCCCCCCCCTTAATTGAAGGTGTTCCGCCGCTACTGACTGACACGTAGATAAAAGGAAGAAGCTGTAGAGGAGCGCTGAGTGTATTGTCCATTCAAAGCGGAAGCAAATTTTCGTTCTATTTAATGCATGACTTGAGGTCGTTTCGACACGAAGAGAAACATCACAAACAATATTATCATCCACAATTCCATTTAGGTGAATGTTTTCGAGAAAAGGAGATGGAACAACGGTTGATCATAAATCATAATCCTCAAAACACGGGTGGCTCTCGTCGAGTGACGTTAGCATGCTCCTTCTAAAACTCGGTTCGGTTAGAGAGTAGTTGATTAGTATGTAGCACCAACAAGTTCGAGACACCAATAGATACCTACGGTTGTTAGGCCCAGGCCATGGCGAGCGGCGAGGATCGCCGTCCCCTGTCCCTGTTATACGGCCTTGCCTTGCCCACGGTTTATGACGATTCGGCGGAGTCTCAGTCCTATCGTCCCATAACGTCCGAGGCCTGTTTATGGGGCCGGCGATGGCACCCCGAAGATTCTACTGGTCAGTCGAATTTGAAAAGTCTTAGTGATCGAACCTCGTTGTGTCGGTTGTGAGGCCGAGTATTGCGCAGAGGAATTGTGACTAGCGCTACGCATTGGTATAACATCGTAAGTACCTATATCGGGCATTTGTAGTTTTTTTTCGGGAATAGAATCACCGTTAACAAATACCCCGCAAATTTAATTTACAATTAGCTGAAAAAACGTAACCTGATTGTTTGATATTACTGAACAAGATAGCACTTTTACTTGTTATCGACCTCAGGAGCAAGCTGGTATTACAAATAACATATGTTCACCGTTAAAGGGACTGTCCCACCTTAACATTAGATTTGAGTTGAGATAGCCATCTTGATGGACGTTCTTTGAAAATCAGTGCCGTGAAAACCGTTTCTCCAGCAATTACTTCATCGCAAAGAAATTTGAGTTTGATTTTGACATCTGTGCAAATAAGTGCCACAATGTATTGGTATAGGCACTTAAATCTGATGACGTCATCAGGCTTTCGAACGTCCGTTAAATGTTTGACTAAAACGTTTTGTAGCACGCGGTGGAATATGCTGCGTTGCGCGCAACAAATGCCGCACTTTTAAATAAAGTCGCTAGGAACAGCGGAGATCCCAAAAAGTAAACAAAAGTAAAAGTCTAATATCTTGAAAACCGGTGAATATTTTTCGGTGAAATTTGGTAGATATTCGTTTTCGCTCTTTCTGAACCGAGCGACATCACTTTCATGCCAATTCATAAACTTTTTTAAAGGTGGGAGGGTCCCTTTAAACACTTTTCCTCTTTATAATGCAAACCTCATTCGAACTTCATCGCATAAACAATAAACATGCGTCGCCTCCGAGATGCGAACTCACGACCCACGGATCCGTAATCCGGGACGCTACCAACTACGCTACATGGGCCCGAGCGGCGCAGCCGGGAGAGATGCGATCACCACACACCACCGAGGTGTGTGGTGTCAGAATCCTCGACCAATCCCCGATCGACATCATAAACATCTACCGCCCACCCATCAGGGCGACGAACGACGAGCGTGAAGACCGATTCGACCCTCGATGCCTACCAGTCAACCGTCAGACACTCCTGGTCGGCGATGTGAATGCCCACCACCCAGCCTGGGACCGTAACTGCGACCTGGAGGACGCTGTCGGCGACAGACTCGACTGCTGGTTGGAGGATGTCGGATGGAGCCCACTCAATAGTGGGGACCCGACCCTCATCAGCTACAGAACCGGAGGCCAGTCTGCGCCGGACCTGGCGGCCTGCGGTCCCGAGCTGGCGGCCAGAACACGCTGGTCGCTGGGTCCCGACCTCGGGAGCGACCACCTGCCGATGGTGATCGAAATCCGTGGAGTGTCGGACCCTCCTCAGCGGAGGCGCAAGACCAGGTGGGCTCACCACCGTGCCGACTGGAAGAAGTTCAGCGACTCCTGTGAGGAAGCCCTCAGGGAGGCCCCACCTGAGGAGCTCTCAACACAACAGCTGTACACGCGCTTCTCCACCGCTCTCCAGACGGCCAGCAAAGCACATATCCCGAAGGGTGCACGGCGGGACCCTAAACCGTGGGCTCTTCACCCAGAAGTACAACGTGCGGTGGAGGAGCGCAGAGCAGCGAGAAGAGAAGTCCACGACCCTGAATCCAAAGCCCGATGGTTGGAAGCCAAGCGACGAGCAGCCGAGGTGACGGAACGCGTGACCCAACAGTCATACCGGGATTTCGTCAGTACAGAGCTGAACCAATCAACCAGTGTGGGTCGGGTCTCCCGCCTGCTGAAGAAGTGGGAGGGAGCAGAGGACGATGAACAGAGAGACGGAGAGGCAATGAGGGTCGGCAACCGGCTTCTTGTCACGGCCGAAGAAAAGGCTAACGCCTTTGCCCATCAATACGCAACAGTCTCCCGACAGGTGCGGGCCCCCAAGATTGACAGGGCGACACGCCGGCGGACCCAGCAGTTCGACCACTACAACTGTGCCGACTGTCAGAACGCCCGCACCGGCTGCTGCTCCCCCTTCTCTGAGGAGGAGTTGGTTCTTGCCATTCAACGGACTCAACTCCGCAAGTCCCCGGCCCGGACAACATCACGCCAGAAATGATCAAACACCTGGGTCCGGTGGCTCGCGGTGCTCTCCTGAAGGCCATTAACCGATCATGGAAGACTGGTGAAGTCCCCCGCGAGTGGCGAGCGGCTACAATCGTCCCTATTCCGAAAGCAAATAAGGACAAGAAGCTACTAGCCAACTACCGGCCCATCGCCCTGACGAGTTGCGTGAGCAAACTGGCGGAGAGGCTTGTCCTGGCGAGATTGACCTTCTTGACCGATGCACGAGGACTAGTCCCCCCCGAACAAGTGGGGTTCAGAGCGGGACGGTCCGCGGAGGATAGCATCGGTCGGCTAGTCCAAGATGTACAGGATGGATGGCAGAAACCGAAGAGAGACAAGCGATCAAAGAAACAAGACGCAGATACGGCTCAGAAGTACGTCCTGACAGCCTTCGATTTCAGCAGAGCCTACGACGTGGTGGACCATAAGCTACTCCGGCTCAGGCTCCTAGAATGCGGCCTGCCCCTGTGCCTCGTCAAATGGGTGTGGGGGTGGCTGCGCGACCGGAGAGTGAGGGTGGAGGTCCAGGGAGCTCTGTCCAACGAGAGGATCTTCAGGGCAGGCCTGCCTCAAGGGAGCGTCCTGTCGCCCCAGTTGTTTCTGTTGTGGGCGGCGGGGCTGGCACAGTGCCTCAGGGCCCCTGGGGCCTCCCCCTACATCTATGCGGATGACACAGCGGTGTTGTGCTCTGGGGGGACGATGGAACTGGCGAAGAGTCGGGCACAGGCGGCCGCGGATGCTCTGGTCGCCTGGGCACACCGGAACAAAATGCTAGTCGCCGGGGAAAAGACACAAATGCTGGTGCTATCGCAGAATGCCAAAGACTCCGTCGGATGCACCATCAAGGTGGCAGGGAAGACGGTGTCGGCGAGCGATACACTGGTCCTCCTCGGGATCGAACTCGACCGTCGTCTTCAATTTGGCGCACACTGCAAGAAAGTCAGGAAGAAGGTTCGCCCCCGCGTCGCCCACCTGAGGCGGTTGTCGGGTCGAAGCTGGGGACTAGACGAAGACATTCT